CAAAATTAGTATTGGTTACTCTGCATTTAGCTCAATTATTCAAATACTATATAGGTCCAATAGTTTTCAAATTTAATGTCTGGAAAAGTATTACGCCAGTATATCAAATATACGTCACTGTGACCTATATTTTTCAGCTTTACTTACCTTGTTTACACTTTGTATTAAACTGCGATTCCATCAGAACAACAGTTATATTGTACAAAAAAAATCTACTTTTCTGATAATTTATTCGTGAATACAGAGCTTACTTCATGAAAATATTTCTTATCCCCAGCTTTGATCAATGCTTCATGTCATATTTTGCAGTTTTCTATTTCCCCAAAATTTATCAAATAAACTTGTATTATCAGGGATAAAAATGTTCGGCCTATTAAGCTCACCTGGTGCAAAAGACTGGTGAGCTTTTGCTGTGGCACGGCATCCATCCGTCTGTCCTCGTTTCCTTTAAAATGCTACTACTTCTGAACGGCTTGGTGGATTTCGACTAAATTTGGCCTGGGGCAACCTTGTTTAAAGTTTTAGTGTGATGCCATTTTTAACTTTTCCCTTAGAAAGCATTAAAATACCTGTTTTTCCGCCGTTTTGCCCATAAGTCCATTTTCGTCTCTGATTGTTGATGATTGCGAAAGAGTCTGGTGTACTGTTTATTGTACAGACTACAGTAATGTTATGGTGATTGTTACAGTAAGTACCTTCTATCAACATGACTGACAGGGCCAAACAGCCGTGATTGATTCGTCCAAAGAGAGCCAGTGCTAATACAGCCATTTAGCCAATCAGAGACCATCATAATGAGATGTATTTGGTTAATTTGATTTGTTGAGATGCCAGCGGTTGCCTATCATTACAGTAATAAAGTGTTTCTGGTGATTGAGTTCTGAGGTAACTGGGATAATAGAGAGTGGAGATTGATGGTGAATACACGTACCAACGGGGAATGTAGCTTTCTGATTGTTTCTGCAGTACAATGAGTAGATAGCCTACCTAGAAATGTGTAGCAAGACTGCCTTCATTGCTAGATTTACCCTAGATAGAAGTTGTAGTGGATCGCACAGGTTCTGGTTTGTACAAGTTATAATAGTTGACAATAATGGTAATGAAAAGTTGTAGTGATATTGTTTAGACTTCCCATAGAATTATACATCCCTGGACTTGTAGTCCAGACAGGACTGCTCTGTAAAGTTGTATTGCTATAGAAAGACTTCCCATAGGATGATACATCTATGAACGAATACCCCAGACAAATCTTATCCAAGTTGGACTGGCACTGGGGACAGGCCTGGTTTGGTATTGTACCACTTCCCATATATCTATGGACTGGCACTGGCACTGTTGCTGGATGTAATGTATCGGCACCTGGTACCTACGTTTACTTGCTGATCAGAATGTACCCAACAAGTACACCTGCACTCTAATACTTCGACCCTGTCTAGGTAGAATGTACGTTACACTCAACTTGTTCTGTATTGGAACACATACTTTACGACGACAAGTGACGGCAACGTCGGCGTTAAATCATATGATTCTTGTTATGGTTATTATGCGAATTTCTGTATTTTCTGATAATTTTTTCAATGTTATAAAACTACAGTACAAAAAATGCATTCGTTATTCCCTGGAAGCATGTGTAATTCTTCATGGTCTACGAATTTCAGATTAAACAGTGATGAGTTACAACTATATGAGAAACAGATCAATTGTACCCTATAAATATATTGTAGACTTCATCTGACATATTTGCCAACTTTTTGAAATTTCCATGGGGGAGATTCTGCATGCTCAAAGTTATAGCATAAATGAAATGTGGGTATACTTCCCCTAGAGACAAAATAACCCTTTAAAATCCTTGTAAATATACAAATCATAAATCTGAGAATATAGGAACAGTTTAGCAAATTCACAGGTTGAAAAGAAATAACAACTTTATACATTGATTATTCTAATAAAAATGACAATTATACACATTCAAGATTTCAAGAAAAATGACATCTTTATAGACTTAAAATTCAAAGAAATGTGGCAACTTTATAAATTCAAGATTTCAAGAGAAATGATTTTTTTTATAAATTCAACATTTCAAGAGACCAGACGACTAGTTTAGATTTACACATTACATGACAAAGGCATAGCTCCACTCAACGTCTCTATTATATAATTTGTCCTGATAATGGATCAAAGAAAGATTACTCTAGTTTCCACGCATAAAAAACATCATTGGAAGGAAGTTTGAACTTGTCTTACTATTATAACACTACTATCCTCACACATGACCAAACATGTCTACAATCGAATACCCGCCACCTACTCCACGTGCTGGCCATGTGCTCTCCAACGACGACGGCAAGTAGTTGTGTAAGCAGAGGCACGGGTCATCAATCACCAGTAGTCACATGACCTGTTAAAAGCAGCCAATCAGAAACCTTGTCTCAAATGAAGAGGCAACTTTAAATGATATGTCAAGGAGCCGGGTCTGTGTGTAGAGCTGTGTTGTGTCCTAGGAACTGATCAGTTGTGATGGAAACGGAGGTGTAGTGAGGGTATTTAGGTCACGTCACTGGAGCAGTGTGAAGGTGTGTAGAAGTCACACTGATGGCCCTGCAGTATCACCTGTGCTTACCGAGTCTATTCACTAAACCTGGACATAGGGCTTCTTACTACTGGGCCGAAAGTATGGTAGATAGATATTTCTACACCACCTTGAGCTAACTTTTCCTGAACTCTTGTGTAGCGGTGTGGAGTAAAAGGAGAAACTGTCAACAAGGATAATAACGTATGCTAACTGTTAATATCGGTAGCAGTGACATCAGAACCGGGGCCGCTGTGTGGTATATACACATTTAATGAGATAGGCTAAGCCCATTATCATGTTCCACAATAGCTGAGCGTGTGTAAACAAGACATTATATATGTTTACCAGAGAATTACCACTCGACCCAGGAATTATCACTGTGATGTGAGATTGTCCTCTTCATACAGTTAATCTGAGGAAGGCAGTGAAGTGGGAAACAACATAAAACTCAGATTGTCCACTCAGCAAAATTTGGAATTAACTTTTTTCCTGTAAACTTTGTGATACAAATCAACAAATTTAGGATATTTCTTCTTTTTTCAAGAACTTTGGGACACCATTCAGAAAAATTTGATTTAATCCTAAAAACTTTGTGTTGTTAATTTGATGACAAGTATGTTATCAAAAACAAACTTTTTGCTGGATATATTTCTGATTTCAAAGGGGAAAAAAACCCGTGTTTAATACTGGAAAAAGTTCTCGTTAGACCAGGATTAGGACTGTGTCGCCCAATAGTATTGTACCCTGTGCATACACTACAGCAGTATAAGCAGAGGGCAATAAAACCTGAAGGAAATTCAGTGAAAACAAACACCCGAGACAATTTTACAAAATAAAAGGGAGAAAGAACAATCGGCATGAAAGAGGAGAGTGGATGTGATACTGCCTATAGCCACAAGGACAGCACAGCCGGTCTGGGGGAGAACGGACTTTAAACACTGCCATACCAGACTTCGTGGATTGTCTGCCTAATTTCTACTGTGTGTACAGAATACCTACGGCCATTGTAATTTGTTTTGATACACAGGCAAAGGCATCCAAGGACTCGGGAACTTTCCAACAGCAATCCAATTTTGGCTTGTGTGTGTTTTGGTTCAAATTGTGTATGTTTAAACGTAGTGAAACAATGCTATTTTATATTGTCTAGTTCTGACAATATACACTATTAACATACCATATTGGCAAACTGGTTCTTGCCATTGAAAATTGAGAAAAAACAATGACAATATTTTTACAGTGACGGGAAGTGCTTGTTTGCAGCCTTAGTGTAACTTGTTAAGAATTTCTGCCATCCAAAGATTACGAGAAATAGCTTATCAAACTCTCAAAAGAAAACTGCTTCAATACTGAAAATTGTTGGATGATATTTTTTTTAAATCGTGGGGAAAAAACAGACAATAGTTTTACAGTGACTGGAAGTATTTATTGCATCTTTAATGTAATATGTCATCAGAAGATTACGAGAAATAGATTATCATAATCATTGGTAGCCTGGAAATAGAGTTCTGAATACTTGTTGAACCATGGTTCTGAAGGATATAGACGTGAACACTTGCACGCATAGCAACACGCCGGATAACTTTCAGAAACCCCGCAAACGGCGACATGTGGCGATACAGCTGGACTTCGACGCCATTGACAGTGAGAGTGTATGTAGATATTTACCTGTGTCAGGTGATCTGAACTCCTGATGGCTATTAGTCATTAAGGCATATCTGTACAACATGTCACATGTAAAATACATCATAACGGTAGACCGTTACAGCCCATTGTATTTGTACTTTTGAAACTTTACATAAACAATCCAAAATATGCAGCATTAGTAAAATGATATGATCTTTTAATTAATGAACAAAAGATGAAGAGCATTGAACTCGTTTGAATTACTCTTACAGAAATTTATCTACAGATACAAAGCGACCCCCTCTCACGACCACCTGTTACCTTTGTTGATATTACTGTCTAACCTTTCTTTTTAATGTTGCATGCAAAAAAATATTTGAAACTCGTACGATATAGATAAAGAACTTACAATGATAAGTTCAACAAGATTATCTCCCTTTGGTGAACATTCTATAATCCACTGTATAGAACACAATACAAAATTAGTCCAATAAGTCATGCATCAATTGAAGTTGTTCAAATCCTTTCCCAAGGGTCTTTCTTGAAGCACTTAAGTTCCGAATGTCTTATTTTGAATTCGTACTTTCAGATGTACCATGCAAAGAAGTTCCGAATGTCTAAGTCTGAATTCATACTTTTTTAGGTGTACTATGCAAAGAAGAAGTTCCGAATGTCTAAGTTTTGAATTCATACTTTCGGGTGTACTATGCAAAGAAGTTCCGAATGTCTAAGTTTTGAATTCGTACTTTCAGGTGTACTGTGCAAAGAAGTTCCAAATGTCTAAGTTTTGAATTCGTACTTTCAGGTGTACTATGCAAAGAAGAAGCGGCGTGCAGCTCAGGGAGCTCAGGGAGATGAAAGCAGTCACAAAAAGGGCAAGGTCAACGTACACGCGTATAACGACGGCTACGATGATGCCAATCACGACTACATTGTCAACCCAGGGGAAAAATGGCTGGAGAGATACGAAATCGACTCTCTCATCGGCAAAGGGTCCTTTGGACAGGTAAGTGATGGAACGGTAGAACTAAGAACTGGAACTGTAGAATTAAGAACTGGAACGGTAGAACTAAGACTAGAACACTAGAACTAAGACTAGAACACTAGAACTAAGACTAGAACAGTAGAACTATAGAACAGTAGAACTAAGACTTAGAACAGTAGAACTAAGGAACTAAGACTAGAACGGTAGAACTAAGACTACAACAGTAGAACTAAGACTAGAACGGTAGAACTAAGAGTAGAACGGTAGAACTAAGAACTGGAACAGTAGAACTAAGACTAGAACGGACTAAGACTGGAACAGTAGAAGGAAAAGCCAGAACCAAAGAATTCAGAACTAGACCTAATCTGTGACGTTTGGTGTATGGTAGGAAATTGACTTTGATTCCATCATAGCTTCTGTTGGACCTCCATGGGAGACTGATTTTATAAGCCGATTGTGTTCATTACATAACTAGGCATTTAGCAGAATCAGGTGGCATACAGTCACTAGACAAGAACGGGGGGAACAAATCAGATTATTGTACAGTTTTTTTAGCCATTGTTTTTTCGAAAAGATTTGAAAATCATTTATCAGGGTTACAACATATTCTAAATGACATGCAAAAACAAAAGTACGATTGACAATGATAAGTTTGATATTAGCTTGAATTTAAATCTTAACTCGCAGCTGTATACTGTTAGGTATCAAATAATATATATAACAGTTTACTGTAGAAGTGAAGATTTTTATGGTCCGATGCATGATATATTTACTGATTCTGAATTATTCTAATCTATAGGTTAAAACATATAAGTGCTTTTCATCACTTTGTAGAAAAAAAATTTATTATGGATCAAACTTGTTCAAATCTCCCATATGAAAACATCAATGATTTCAATCGCTTCAATTTAAAGGAGAAAAAAAGCTTATTTAATGTGTAGGCATTTTGAACGTCATTAGAAAATGTATCATATGATGGGCAGCTGGTCGGGTCGTGTAGATACGATAGCCTAAGTAAGGGAGGTTAGAATTGGGCCATTAGAAACTTATAACAGTGACGCCCCAGCGCTTAACAGATAGCGACGCTTTCTGTGGAAAACAAACGGGATACAAAGGATGGATCAATAGAATTACAGTTAGGTTTTATCAGGCGTCCTTTACATATATGTTCACTTCGTAACGTTTTTTTCCGCCGTCATCAGTCATCATTTTTATCGCTCTTGCAGGTGTTTGCAATGGCGCGTGTCATGCCACACTTCGTTACTTGCTTGTCATTGGTTAAAGGGTCAAACTTTGTTTTCTTTGGATGAGAGAGTTCCTTTATAATACTTGGATATTGTAAAACGTATTAAATCTTACCGTTTATTGTCGGAGCATCTGGCCTTAAAAAAAGTGATCAAAATAAGTCAGAAAGGCTGACTCTTCTTCCTGATTTTATAAATTTAGCTTTTGTGTTTTGTATTTAACAAAGTTGCCATCCAGTTTCAAATAATTTTCAAATATTAAATTTTATGTACTCATACTTGATAAGACCTAATCAACTTACATATGTTTCGGAATTTTTTTGTGGAGAGAAGAGAAAAAACTTTTTAAAAAAAGATGATGACTGCTCCTCCTAATCTTGATTGATTTCCTCCCCCCACCCCCCACCCCAAGTCTACAATGCATAAAAAGTTTGTTTTTCTGACAATATTTAATCATTTCTTATCTATCATAATTGTAAGGTGCCTTCAATATAAAGCACCACATTCATGTGCCCTAATTGCTGAACAGTCGATCAAGGTAGAATTCCTATCATTATAAAAGTGACCCCCTCTGAATTAGCACCACCTGCCCAAAGTACAATGTACAAGTAAAACTTTTCATCCCATATGTCCCTGCCACCATTCCTGCTCTTCTAAAGTTTGGACAAAGTGACCAAGTTCAAATTCCTCCACACCAGTGTCCCACTGTATTATGAGGGAGACCCCCTTCCATGTTGTAGCACCTGTTGATAGTACCACCAGTCTACAGGTGAAACTTTTGAAGTTTTTAGTTTGAGTTCCTTCACACTTTTGGTCACCTCCTATCACCATCTGCCAGGGGTCCAATTCTTCTGTTAAAAGTTTTGAAAAACTTTTTCATCTTGGTTCTCATCACCTTTCTGAGTCAGCCCGATACACCCCTCCGCCATCTGCCGCTGGCTTCTCACGCGCAATCACTCGCCGACATCAGCCAAGGAGCAGGTGTCTTTGTCTATGTGGAGCTATTATTGCTGGGGTGGACAAATTCCGACACACTCTCCTCTCACAATAAGGCATGCGTGATGGGTTGTGGTCTTTTGGTTGGTCCGTTTTTATACCACCTGGCCTGACTGGCCACAGTCCATCGTCCATCGGCACGTTTTCGTTTGTTGTTTAGCAGCATAATAGACGGGGTTGAATATTATAACGGCACCCCTGTCAGATTCTCGTTTGTTAAGAAGGGAAGTGACAATAGAAGGGAGGAACATTATAACGGTACCCCTGTCCAAGTTTAGTTTGTTAGGGGGTGCCAACAATGGTGGGAAATTATAACGGTTTCCCCGTCAGAGTTGTGTTTGTTGTCACGGGTCCGCTAGCCTTGGCTCGTTTGTTTTTGAGAGTCACAAAAGATTTAAACGGCGATTATAACGGTACCAGGCGACCCCGTTGACCTCCACAGGGCTGACCAGGGGTTGGGACGGTATATTTAAATAGAGTAATCATTTCATTGGTGATGTGTTTGAGTTGTAAATTATTTTAGATTCAGTCTCAACACATTTCTAGAGAAATGTGCCCAATTCTTGTTCTTTAGTAAGGAGAGGGATATGAAATTGTTTCTATTTTATTAAAAAAGCTGTAAAGAATAAATCTACTAACTTCATTTTACTCAGAAGTGTGTAGAGAGCCTAATTATTTTTATTGTGAACTTTCGATTACCATCATGACCTTTACATATTTGAATAATAATAATTTAATGAAAAATATTTCGAGCACAATTTCGGTTAAATTTTACATTCTTAACCAGTGTTTGCTTCTACTAAAATTGTGCCTGTATACATTTGGAAAAATATATATATATTTATAAAAATTGGGTAAACATATCTAAAAAAAAATATTCTTTATTTATGAAATTAAGACACTTTTTAGCTATAGGAAGCAGTCTGTTTCCAATAAAGGAAAGGGGGAAAACACTTTTTGCACAATTGAATAGTATTATAGCATCCTAAATTATTATTTTGACCATTATCTTCAGTAGTGATCAAATTGACTGAATAATTGAGACCCCTTGACTTAAATACATGCATATAAAATATTGTAATTTATATATAAAAAAAAGACATAGCTTTCAAATTTCTTATGATGAAATTGGTAGAGCTTGACTCCCCAGCAACAAGCTAACCTTTGACCCTGATACCCCAATCTTGTGCCCTTAGTACCCAACTGCCCTTACCTGCCAAATTAGCATACAGGTGGGACATGCATGTGTCGGCCGTGCACCTGTCCGCTCCTTACCTGTAGAATACCTGTTGGATGCTTCCATGCGCCATCGAGTGCCTGCCTGGAACGTCTGCGGTCCAACAGATAATAATTCGCCGCACAATTACATGTGTATAAAGTAAACCGACCTTGATCTGGTCACAGTCTGCCAAGTATGGCTACGGACAATGGGGCTCTTTCACACCCCACAGACACAGCAAAAAAGGCCTTTAGACAGGTGGAAATATTGACAACCTGTCAAAACTTTAACGGTCCGAAATACACACAGACAGACATCTCAAAAAGTTAATGAATCTCTCTATCAGTCTGATCATTAAAATCTAAACACCAAGTAGCAGACAGGTAGAATATTGATCACTAAATGTCAAAAAGACTTAATGGTCCCAGCAAATGCATACATGAAAAGGTGTTCTTAAAAACATTATCCAGTCATTATTCATTATTTATAAGTTTTTGCTAAATTTAAACACCAATTTAGACAGATAAATGTATTCACTTTTAATAAAGTTTCAAATTCAATTATTTATTCAAAGCTTCTTTTGTTAAGAACTTTCACTTGGAGCTTTTCAAACTTTGTAGGTAATTGCCTTCTTGAAAAAAATTGTAGATAATTTTTATGAGAGTTTTTGGTTGATTGAGTAGATGGATAAAGGTGATTAACTCATTCCTCTCTCTCCCTGAAATTTCATATTGGACTATTCCAACCGTTGAATTGGAAGTGTTCAAATGTGTATTCAGGGGTGAATGAGTTAACTACCGGGGCTGATCCGGGATCAGTCTTGTACCAGCTTTAGGCCAGGTGTAAAACGCACAGGTGATTTAGCCACCAACATGTCAAAATAAGGTAAAAACGTGGTATTGTTTGGGGGTTTTCCTCGCAGAAACTGACACTTGCATTAAAAATCTTATCAGATACAAATGAGATTTATTTTAAGTTCAATTGTGGATTTAAAAAGAAAAAAACTGATTCCATCGTTGTAGGAAATTGTAAATATGTATGGTCTTTGACAACGAAAGTTAACATGGCATGCAGGGTTTTACAAAATTCTACTACATTTGCGAAGTTTCCAGCAATTTTTTTCCAAGATGTTTACAAACCATTGTTGATGATAACTTGTGGAGGTTGTAAGCAAGACTTTGTGTATAGTGACATTTTCCGGCTTTTACATTCACACCTGTATTCACTCGTCCAACCCTGAAATTTCATTATGAACTATTCCAATCTTTGAATTGGAAGAGTTCAAATGTGTCTTCAGGGGTGAATGAGTTGAAACACCACCCTAAAAAAGCTATAAAAAAAGTCTCTTATCACAGGTGGTCTCTAAATACAGACTGATTTCACAGTGGAATTGCTACATTGGGGGAAATTTAACGTGGTCTCCTAGTAGAACTGGTTGCATGAACAGGATTGACTACTAGATATTCTGGTTTTACCTAACCTTTCGCCCCTGCAGACCATTATGGACTCCTCCTGATCAATGCATGGTAGAGTCTACTGAAGTAACACAGGGGGAGAAGGGTTAGGTGGAAGACGATTATTTCTGTGATATTCCAATTATTGAAAATGATTATGATTTGTTTGTGTCTTTAGGTGGTGAAGGCGTATGACCACACTGACCAGGAACAAGTAGCCATCAAGATCATCAAGAACAAAAAGCCGTTCCTTAACCAGGCCCAAATAGAGGTCAAACTACTAGAACTTATGAATAAACATGACAGGGAAAATAAGTATTATATAGGTAAGTACAGTATGGGAAAATAAGTATTATATAGGTAACAAAGTACAGTATGGGAAAATAAGCATTATATAGGTAAATAAAAAAATAGAGTACTTACAGTATGGGGAAATAAGTATTTTACTTGTGAGGACATTATGGGGGAAAGTAAGCAATATAAATATAGCTGAGTAAATTACAAAAAAAGTCATTCCTTTAAATCGGTTGAGATTTCTATAAGATTTTTATTTGCAATCATCACAAATAGCGAGATATATACTAACTTCATTAATCTGTTTCAGCAAACTGTTGACAACCCACTGCAGTGGTAAACTGCTAATGCACATCTTTGTTCTTCTTTTGCAGTAAAACTCAAGCGGCATTTCATGTTTAGGAATCACCTTTGTCTTGTGTTCGAACTTTTATCTTACAATTTGTATGACTTATTACGGAACACCAACTTCCGAGGAGTCTCGTTAAATTTGACTCGAAAGTTTGCTCAACAACTGTGTACGGCGTTGCTATTTTTAGCAACACCCGAGCTAAACATTATACACTGTGACCTTAAACCGGAAAACATTCTGTTGTGTAATCCGAAACGAAGTGCAATCAAGATCGTGGATTTCGGGAGTTCCTGTCAGCTAGGTCAAAGGGTAAGTACATTACGATTCCTGGAGAGTTGTTCTTTTGCAGATTTTTTTTTTGAAATGTTCCGAAATATTTTGGAAATAAATTATATATTACTCTATAACAACAGAAAGGTCATACAAGGTGGAAAGAGAAATGGCTGATGTCAAAAAAAAAGGCAACAATATGTAAAAAAGTGGGTTTTTTTAAAAGGCGTGTCGGGACACTCACCTCTAGATGTCTTTTACAATGTTTATTTTGGTCGTCACGCATATTTCACTTCCCGTATCGCCAAACTTTTTTGCAGCAGGTTGTGTTAACAGTTGGGTTTATGATAAAATCAAAGTTACACGGGTCATTTTCTGCTACAGCGACAAAAAGCAGTATTCAAATATTCCATTGAAAATGTGTTTGTATATAAATGTCAATATTGACAGAGGTTTCTGCAGTAGTAGGATTTTTGACGCTAAGAAAATTGGCTTGTTGCATCTATATGCGAGTCTGTAACACAATTTACACGTTAACTCCAGCATTTGTTGAATTTCTTCTCTGTAACATTACCCAAGCCACTAAAGAATTTCAAATACTTGAAACCAAACGTTTAAAAAAAAATCCTACAAAAATGTTCAGCGAGATATATATAATATATCAACGAAAGTAACTAACTGTTTCAGTCCATCATATCGTAGCTTTGGAATTTTAAGCGTATAAAAAAGCTGATGTTTAATCTGCAGAGGGAGATAGAGGGGTATGTGTATACAGATTTATGGCTCTGACGAAGTGCGTGATAAGCCTGGGTTTATCCCCGAGATCCTACAATCTCACTGCCATGTGGTGGTCCCTCTCGCTTTCTAATCTCCAAGCCTACCAAATCAGTGTCTCAAATCCAATCTCAAACCTGGCTGTGGCAAGCCTCATCTGGAAATGGCCACCTAACTTATTACATAACAGGAAAAAATTGGATTTGAAAGAGAAGGAGACAAAAAATTAACGTCTTTTGGACAATGTTTCGGCAAAGCTGCAGACAGATTTTAATGAAAGAATTAGCTGCAGCCAAAAAGTTATCTAGATAATCAAATGAGAACCGATATGCTTGCTAGGCTCTATTGTACTTGTATAAAATAATTTCTTTTTATAGCTTATAACATCCCGATGATTTATCCTTAATCTGTTCGGAAGATGTGCATTAGAAAGGCTCTGTATACCCTTTTGTCTGGCTTCTGGCTGGAATTAAGGTTTCTTAGAGATTCGCCGTAGATTTGTACCTCCTACATGCATTTTAAGATCGGTAAACTTGATAACATGCATGAAATTTACTCGAACAGGGTACAAGGCGACACTTTTTTGACCAATTGTTTGAAATACGGGGCTATAGGAACATAAAGTAATTATAGAAATGCTGTTAAAAGTTTGGATTAGAAAGTGGATTCACTGACTTAGATTAAAAACGTGATAAACAGCTGACGGAGATGTTTGATGTGGTTGAAGGGAGGAACAATACTTAGCTCTGTGTGTCTGGTTAGTTACAAGAGGGTCGTATCAGCTTTTCCCCCCCCCCNCCCCCCGTGGTACCTGTTGTCAGATTTTTTTCGCTTTTGCTAAATTGTCTAAATGCTTCAGCTATGCATTATCTACAGAATTTGATATTCTCTTGCTTAACTCATTCACCCCTGAACTTTCATAATGAACTATTCCAACCTTTGAATTGGAAGAGTTCAAATGTGTCTTCAGGGGTGAATGAGTTAACAATCAATAACTGAAATTCCATAACAAAATTAATTTGAAGGAAAAGAACAATTTTCTATTAAAAAAGCGCGATATTACAATAATCTGAAGTTCTCATCGCTGTTATTTTTCTTAAAAAAAACTGCAAGGTGTGGTTTTCTTTTTAGAAATGATTTATCAAAGCTAAATATATATTTGTGCCCGCAAAATCAGTTTCCAGTGCATAGCTACAGTTTTTGGCAGTGGTATGGGCATCCTTAAGTTGGAATATGATCAAGGAAAGAGAGATGTTAGGTTTAGGTAAAGTATTTGCTGTTAACAACTTGACACCTAACGACATTTGGACTGCTCCAAATCAAAGGATATCGTATTCTATTGTTGAAATACAGGGGTGAGTGAGTTTTAATCCTGTTGTAAACCTTGCTGTATCTAACTGATCCCCTGCCTCGAACTTTGTGAATCATTCACTGAAAAATTAATTATCTCGCCACAGTTAGTGACTAGATACGTATGTATAAGTCAGGCCTTCTGCCAGGACCTGACTAGTACCGCGACTTTTAATGATTGAACTGAAACATCACAGGCCCACTGGGGGAGGAGGGGTGGGGATCTTGACTAAAGCACCACAGGCACACTGGGGGCAGAGGGGTGGGGATCTTGACTAAAGCACAACAGGCCCACGGGGGAGGGGGGGATCTTGACTAAAGCACTACAGGCACACTAGGGGCAGAGGTGGTGGAGATCTTGACTAAAGCACCTTGGGTACACTGGGAGAGGAAGGGTGGGGACCTCGACTAAAGCACCTCAGGCACACTGGGGGTGGGGATCTCGACCTAAAAAATATCACAGGTCACATGCTCAAGCATGGATTTTGTGCTCAAGCCTTATTTCTTGTTCCGTCATAAATTAATAAAAAGAATATTTTGTCAGTGATTAGAGGAAAAAATTGAAGAGAGTTGTATCTAATTAATGCTTCCCATGTTTACATTTGACCTCTTGATCATTTTACATGATCAAAGAGAGTTAACAAGAAGGCTGGTTTGAGCACAGACCATGCTTGAGCATGAGAACAGTTTCATGAAGAGGGGCCCTGGATACAAAATTTGTATGGAATAGGAAACACATATTTAATTCTGTTTGGCCTTAATGGGATGCTGTGACAGAATCAGATATGCTATCTATATAAGTAACAGTAGATCATAGCCGGTAATAATATAGATAAGTAATTCCTGCACAGGTGTTTAGAGTTCTGTGCCACAGTCGGTCAGCGACCTGCTCTAGTAGACGGTTAATGTACATTTTATTTATGCATAGCACTTATATATACCTTACTTTCTGTCTCATATTCCATGTTGCATAATGCATGCAAAAATGGACTGTTGGGTGTAATGAAGTATGAAATTATGTTTAATAATATAAATTGACGATGATGCATCAGGTTTAGTTTAAGTGATGCATCAAAATCTGTATTTGAAATAGATGAAAACATTATTTTTGAAGTGTTTTCAATCTAGAATTTCGTTATTTGTATTCAGGTGAGCATAGTGTACCAAGAATTATAATTTATTGGGGTTTTGACACGCTGCATTCCCAACTATTTTTGCCTTGGTCTTTGTCGCCTTTAAAAGTAAAAATACTAAAAGTGAATTCTGTGTTAACACAAAATAGGAATTGCTTCGTCAAACTCATCGTCTTATTAACCCATTCACCCCTTCAGTCAAATGAACCTTACCAAATCAGAGACTGGGCAATTCCAATTTAACTATGTAGGGGTGAATGAGTTAAAGGCAAAATAACATCCCAGACATTCATACTTGCCAACTTCTTGAAATTTCCATGGTGGATATTCTGCATGCTCAAAATTGAAACATAATAAAATGTGTGTATACTCCCCCTTGAGACAAAATAACTCTTGAAACTGACATATTTTGAGTTGTTCTTTAGGACAAAATCCCTCGGTCAAATTGGGACTTAAGGTCCCAGACAAGGCTCCTTTCACTCATTTACACCTGAAGACACATTTGAACTCTTCCAATACAAAGGTTGGAAGAGTTCATTATGAAATTTCAGGGGTGAATGAGCTAAAAGTAAAAACACAACATCTGAATTGTGTCTTTAAATTCATCGTCTTATTGAAGAGCAAAATAACATTTACCTCTTACAGTATATTAGAAATGATTCAATGGTATTTAAAACGTTGGCAAAGTGTTACAACTCCAGAAAAATGGGGGAGTAGAGGGAAGATTTCCAACCGAAATAATAAAAACTTGTGAGGTCACTGGGTTGGGTGTGAAGTGTTAGCAGACGGTGTCCATGACTCAAAGTGTTGTGTCTGCGGTATATATCACTATATAGACTGTAAAACCTGGGCATTAGTCAGCCGCCAATCTGCAGGCCACTCACAGATGTCTCCCTCAGATTACAGCCGTCACGGCTAGACTTGTACAAGTCTGTGTTTCCCTTGGATACTGGTAATCCATAGAAAAACTGGATTCTTCTAAAAAAATATTTCTTATTAAAAGTACAATATAAACTAGTAGAAGTCAGGATAGTGATTTAGCTCATATGACAATAGAATAAATTTATTAATTTCTTTTTTAGAAATTTGAAAATTCATTCAAAAATATTGCTCATAATTAGTAGATAATGAAATATTACATAAAAATGGTATATATTAATTATAGGTTGTAGATAATCTTGTCATCTTCAATTTGCATACATAAACATGTTATTGTTGTGTACTTGGTACTAGTCTTGGACAAGTCCCAGATTTTGTTGCCAGTCCAGAGATAAACAGGCAGCTGATAAACAGTTTAGGTCAATGCCCAAGTAGGACACATCACTTTTCTGGAGTGGAGGGTGATGTCGTTAGTGTATACATGATAGGGAGGAGAATGGGTACAAGGGCGCAGAGTAACACCTGTAGTTGATCATCCTCCATAGTAGCCCCCTTAATCAACCATTCACTGTAGCAGGGCCCCCTCCCCTGTAATTCACCTTTCGCTGTAAAACCCCCCTGTAATCCGCTATTCTCTGTAGTAGCCCCCTTAATCCATCGTTCTCTGTAATAGCCCTGGTTATCCACCATTCTCTGTACTGGGGGGGGGGGGCGTTATCCACATTTCTCTGTCTTGGCCCCCTTAATCCACCATTTCTTTAAAAACCCAATAGTTAACCATCCTCCATAGAAACCCTTGTGGTCTACCATTCTCCATATTAATTCCCTAGTCCACCATTCTCCTAAGAACCCTCTGCCATGTTCCCTTCTACAGATTGAATTCGCTACAGAGTAACCTACTTACGCGTACCATTTGGCAGACTCGAGTTCGACTCCACTGTCACCTCCCCTTTACCGTTTACCAATCGTACATACAGACAGCCGAGGGGTGACAGGGTGCAGGGTCTGTTTTCACTTGGGACTCGAGCACCTCTTCACTGATGTTGTGACTGATGTAGGTTTAGTGCATTAGTACCGACAGGCCGACCTCAAAAAAGCATCATTTGGGCACTATATTCAGTTTTAGTTTTTTCAAAAATATTAATTTCAATTAGAACTAGCTGTAAAATAAGTTTCTCTTCGTTTTTGCAACATGGAGAAAATATTTAGATGCTGCAATGTTTAAATCTTGGCAGCTTCACTAAGATGTGTCTGCTGGAACAGTGTCTGTATATCTGTGTGTTTGATGTTGCAACCATCTTTCAATGGTGGGATCTTGAATGTTTTGACAAATGTTTCTTGGTTTGTCAATGGAATCTCTCAATGTATAAGTAAATTTGATAATCTCCATCTGACCACACTACCCAGTCAATCTGATACCCATACTGCACTAGTACCTGGCTTTTTCAACAACAACAAATAGTCTTATAGAAGAAAAATTTGGCTTTATAATTACTGCATGTTTTTTAAGAATCTTTGCACGCTGCGAAATGATCTCAAATGTAACGCAGTGTACACTGACAAGAATGGAGACGAAAGCAATGTATTTCGTTGCTTTCCTATGAAATCAATCAACTGTTCGCCGCGGTCTACACTAAGCAGACACCACACATTTACATAGCCGGTAGTTTGTGCTGGAGATAAACTCATTAGCTATCTACATAAATCCAATCCTGCTCGGCCTGTGTCTGGCTGCTTAGGGCCGAGGTTTGGACGATTGGATTCCCTGGCTGACCGTCCAGTCTGACCCGATACGTCTAGACTGAAGTCTTCACTGACCAATTTGCACTTACAGTCGATGATTGTGCAAGGGCCATAACAGCTTATGGTCACTTACTACGCATAATAAATGCAATATATATTCGTGAATTTGTCAGACTTTGGCCGGGTCCCTATGGATTCCGGAGTGGTCATTCCATTACGTACGACGAAAGTCCACACCCTACTGACGATGTGTCATGACGCGTCTAGACACGTTATGGTCAGCTCCAACACATAAATGTAATTTGGTCTTTTTGTTGGAGGCAATGTCCAGATGATTTTTGAATGGTCAGTGGTTGTCTACCGGCTAGACGAGACTGGCATCTAAATTAGCCTGATGTATTGGCCGCAGTTAGGGCCTACTGTAACCAGGGTCTTTGATTGGCTATCATCGTGTGAGAAATTCAAATTTATATTATCGGACACTTGGCTATCATCATGTGAGAAATTCAAATTTATTTTATCGTACCTCTAGTGTCCGTAATCTGTATTTGCACTAGTAAATCCAGTCAATTTTCATCGGATTCGTTGTACTTCTTCGATTCAAAGAGATGCAGAACTACCTTTCATAATGCCTTGTATGACCTTTACCATTATTTGTGTTAACTCATTCACCCCTGAAATTTCATAATGAATCAATCCGACCTTTGAATTGGAAGAGTTCAAATGTGTCTTCAAGGGGTGAATGAGTTAATAAGCTTTTATAATAAAAGTTGTTTGTTTATGGTTTAATGGCCCATTGACACAATACAGTAATTTATGGCCATTAAACTATAAAATATAATAATATATTGTATCATGTTGTTTTTGTAACAGTTCACACGATTGGTATTCAAATGTGCATTAAGAGTTCTGAAATTAGCAGGGAAACTGTTCAAAGAAAGTATGGTTTCAGTTGGACCAGACACAAGAAAATATGGTTTTCATTTCTATTTCCCAGTCACACCTTATGACATTGATGTCATGAAGAAAGTCCACAAACTATTTGATCAGTATAACTGAATTGCTAAGGGACAAAAAACTACTTTCGAATTTAATTCTAATCCTTCACCCCTGAAATTTCATAATGAACTATTCCAACCTTTGAATCGGAAGAGTTCAAAAGTGTCTTCAGGATTGAATGAGTTGATGCATGTACCATTGAGCTGCCAAGGACCAAAACACTTATTTAAAATTCCTACAGTTTATTGCAAAAAAGTTTGAGTTTTGATTTTGTTGTTTTACAGATATACCAGTATATACAGAGTCGGTTTTACCGGTCGCCAGAAGTATTATTGGGGATTCCATATGACCTGGCTATAGATATGTGGTCACTAGGTTGTATACTTGTGGAAATGCATACAGGAGAACCGCTGTTTGCTGGCTCCAATGAGGTAAGTTATTTTAAACCATCATAGTGTCTTTGCTGGATCTGTGGACTTTCAAAGAGCTGACAAAGGTTTATCCAAAGATTTAAAAAATAAATCTTCAAGTTTGGTGTAAGAGATACTATATAATGGGAAAAGTTTGCCCTGTGTTAATTTCACCCTTCACTCAAAATAATCAATTTCCGCCCAGTGTTAATTTCGCCCTTCACTCAAAATAATCAAATTTTGCCCAGTGTTAATTTCGCCCTTCAAGTAGAACTAATATTTATATTATGAAGTCTTCTTATATTCACGGAGTGAAAATTAAACTGAGGTGAACATTTCCCTGTATACAGTACCTCAAAAGATGTAGAGCTTTACAGTGATATTTGGAAGTTTAATTTTGAATGTTGATAATGGAACAACTATTGAAATTTTGTATCTCTTTACTGCAAAGTCAAAAGGATGATAATGTCATCTTCTATTGATAAGGGAGATAATCTAGCTTCGCGGTAAAATTTCTCACAAAATGGCTCTAAATCTAACTTGTGTCTGTGTTTCAGTTCGACCAGATGATGAAAATTGTAGAGGTTCTTGGTATGCCACCTAAGACACTACTGGACCAAGCTCCCAAAGCCCGTAAATATTTTGACCAGTTACCTGACGGAACCTACATATGCAAGAAGTCAAAAGATGGCAAGAAGGTAAACAAAATATGACAACAATTTATCTTATATTTGTCCTTGATATGGGTTGTTTTACATAGGGAATACTGTTAGCTGTGCATAGGGCATATCCTGGACCGACCCATATCTACCACAAGTGCCGTATCTGCCCTTTCAATTTTACTTTCAATTCACAACATTCAGATTTAACTTAGCGATTACACAAGAAATGTTAAAAACATTTGGTGTCGACATATCAATTATTATTAACCCTTTCACCCCTATGTAACTTTAGTAGACTCTACGAGGCATTGGTATAGATGAGTCCATTATGGTCTACAGTGGTGAAAAGGGTTAACACACAAATCTTTTCAGTATTTATTTCCTGGTCACAGTCATTATGTGAAGAAAAAGGTAATTAGATCCACAATATTTTACTGTTTAACTTTTTTTTTTAAATACGAGAAATTCAAACAAATTTGGAAATAAACATTGCTGATTAGCTTAATATGTGTCATTGTGTCAAATTTGAAGAAGAAAACCTGTCAACCCTATGTAACTTTAGTAAACTCTTGCCATGCTTTGATCTGGATGAGTCCATTATGGTCGACAGTGGTGAAAGGGTTAAGATTGCAATGAGTTGAAGGATTTTACCCAATTTTGTAAAATTTCAAATTAAGGATTTTGCTCTTCATGAAAATAGACTTAATGAGGGTTGTGTCATGACATACGAGAATGTTAATTTTCAACATATTAATTAACATCTGTTTCACATCACAGTACAAGCAGCCTGGATCTCGGAAGCTCCACGAGGTAATAGGAGCCGAGACGGGTGGGCCAGGAGGACGGAGAGCCGGAGAACCCGGACACAACGTAGCCGACTACCTAAAGTTCAAAGATCTTATCCTTCGGATGCTTGAATTTGATCCAAAAACAAGGATAACGCCGTACTATGCTCTTCAGCACAATTTCTTCAAGAAAACAACGGACGAGAGCACCAATACACCCAACAGTGCGTCGAACAGTCCCGCGATGGAACAGCAACACGTGTCAAGTCCAACAGGTAACGACACGTTTCTTACCTTTATTGTCGATTTTATTCTCTTGTTTTGCACGCCCATACTTGGAGCCTCTGTTGTCGTGCCCTAGGTTGGGGCTCGGGAACATTTGTGTTTTCCTAATCCGTTTATACGTCTTGTGGCAGTTCCTCGGCCTTTCTATACTATAAAGGGTTAGTTTTGTTTAAATCTGTGTACGGTTAATGTAACATCATTTATGTGTCTTAACTGTTCCTCCATTTCTACTTGTCTACTACTGTGCTGGCTAAATTGAAAGAACTTATTTTGCATGAATTTCGCCAAACTTTTCACACACATCAATCCATTAGCTATATTTGTATTGGAAACTGTGATATACCTATATTTGAAGAAGGACAATGATGTATTCGGCCTGTTATTATTTATGGAAGGGAAACGAAACTTTTGCATAAACTTGCAAATTATTTACCCATGACGTAATTTCTCACTAGGTACATGGTTTCATAACACTGCACAAATATATTTCACTCATTTTTGCCCTCCTGTAATTTCAGAGATAAAATGGATCTCATCACCAATAACGTCTTAGAGGGGGGAGAAATACTGCATCTACAGTTAATGTAAATATGTCTTTTATTATTACTGGCAAATTATAGTGTAGCGGAAAGTGTTTGTTTGCTTTCGTAACGTGAGCGACGGCCCAATCTGTAGATTGAGTGGTCAATTGATTCACCACTTAGCTTTTGAAATGAATAAGTTTTAGTATGAATGAAATATTTCATCGGTTTCATTTGATAGCAATGTATCATCATTCATCATTCAGCATCTGTTTCATCTTCTTCATCAGCTTCGGTGATTCTCTGCATGTGTCAACAGTGTGCACTTTTATGCTCCCTGCGTTACCCCGCTTGAATTCCGTAGAAAGCTGTTAATTTATTTATTTTTAATGTTCTTCTTTGCGATTTATGATTCAAGACTTCATTTAAATGATATATTTTTTTTACTATTAGATTTATTAATCTCGACTCTGAAAAGAAAAAATTATAAGATTAATATGTCTTGGTGTTGTTTTTCGTTTCAATGTTATCTTTTCACTTCCTACATATTCTGGTTCTCTTGTTTCAGTCGGTTCTTCGACGAGTGGGAGGGCGAGGTCTGACCCAACACACCAACACCACTCCCAGCTCCACTCCCACTCCCACTCCGCCCATCAGGGCCAAGGAGTCCAGTACCCCACCATGGAGTGTGAGAGCCCAGCGTCAGGGCCGCCCCAAGTAGTTCCAACGTATCAACAGCCGCCTGGCACTCAGAACTGGGCACCGGCCAGTGACAGTCGTCTCCAGGGCAACAGTTCCCATAGGCACCACTCTCATCACCACTCGTCGCGGCAACACCAATCGCCTCCGCAACTGTCAAGCGGCACAGCACCGCAGATGGTGGCACAGCATACTGCACCGCAGCCACAGATGCAGCAAGCCATACTGCTCGGCTCAGCCGGGTATCCCAGCAACTTCACCTCGGCACGGACTACGTACCCTGCCACGGCAGGTATGGCTGTGGACCTAACAACCAATCTGCAAGGCCATGGCCATCCGCAGGCCCTACATAATGACCCTGCTCAGCTCTCTACCGTGAACATGGCAAGTTATCCCACACCCCATGGCCAGTACGGTCAGTACTCACAACAGACTTGGCCCGCTACGGGTTTCAATTTCTCTATACAGACTAGTGCAAACGCTAGCAATCCTGGCCATGACGCGAATAGCCAACACTCGCGCGCGGCCGCCGAGCGTGGAGAGGACTCGCCCATGCATGGCGTTGTGGTACAGCAAAGTCCGGTAGCCAGCCATTGATGGTACGCCAAGTCTTAGTGTAATTTTTCTCGTTTAGAGTCTTGCAGTGGCTAGAAGAAATAGTTTGAATGCAGCTGATGGTGCAAAACAGAAAGGAGTAGGTGTTGTGGTGGACGTAATGTGAGTAGGGTTTGTTGTCTTCTGTTCCGAGGAATAGAGATGTCTTCGTTTGGAGATATCTGTCACTGCAAGTGCAGCCAGCCAGCCGCCTAACAGCCTTTGTTGTTGTGTCCCGTCGCAAGCTGCTGTCGTTGTCATGAGCGCTATTTGCCGTCGCTGGCAGAGCTATGCACATCCATAAGAAAACATGCATCTACAGAAGATGCAAGTCGGCCCAATTTGGTTTTCGGTGAACCGGAAACTGAGATATGTCTACGCGACCAAAGGTTGATAATAAGTCAGGCTTCGTGCTACGCCAAGTCTAGAAACAAAGCACAGAAATCTGTGTGGCAAGATGTGGTTGACCCCGCTCATCGTCAACAGGGGAGATAACTGTGATAAAATTCCTGGATGCTGGTGTATCCGATCACACCCGACCCAGCTTGTGCTGGCCGAGTTCAAAGGTCACTGCCACCTTCAACTTGACTTTGACCTAAAGTCTTGATAGATATGGTTCAGTGCTTCTTCTTGGATGCAATCTATAGGACAAAGGTCAGCAATGCAATTAATAGGTCAAAGGTCAGCGATGAAGGAGCTTTCTGTGGGAACCGAGAGGAATTGTTTGTGAGGAAGAAGTGTTATGCAGCATTTCAGTATCATGAAAACGATGTTATACGTGGTCCATTGTCACTATTGTCGGTAGTGTATTCTCATATAAAACAAGGGCAAGTAACTCTTATATACCATTCCACGAACACTGAGAAACTGTGGCTGATAAGCCACTGAGCTCAGGTGTATACAATCATTTGCCAAACAAGAACCACCCATCCAACTCTTCAGTGTCTTGTCAACAACTTTTTCTTTGTATTTTAATTAACGATAATTTAAAGAAAAGAAAGGTAAATTGATATTTTGAAACATTTCAAATGCATGAAAGTCACTTTAAGAGTTCATTATAGATTTATTAAAAATTCTTTTAAAAACTTTGTATTGAAGAAAGAAAAGACAAAATTAAAGAAAGGGAGATCACTGTTTGGACAAATTTTCTGAGTCTAACCGTAGTGGAGTCGTCGTGGGAAGCAGGAAATGTATTCATGCCTTACAGGCCAGTGTTGAACACAAGAGGAAGAAAATGACTTCTCTAAATGTTGTTGACCAAATATGGCAATATATATATATATAAAACATACATTAAATCATATATATATATATATATATATATAATGTGTTTGTTAGTAAGAATGACGATTCTTCAGAAAGGAAAGCCATTGGCGTGTTGAGGTATTGGATATTGACAACCAAATAAAAAAACCACTAACAAATGTGATACGGTGTAGATGTGTAGGACACGTCTGCACTCGGTTTGGTGTTAGTAGTGTATAAGTAACGGACAAGCGTTAGAACTATTAGTGTTATCGTACGCCACTGTGTACAGTGACGTTTTTTGTCATGAACAGTGGTACTGATGAATACTAGGAATAATTCATTATAAAAAACATGTGATGTAATATACTAAGTTTGTAAATGTTTGTTTAATCTTATTTATTGAGAAAATGAAAAGGAGAATTATACAATTCTTTTTTTATCACCTGTTAAACACTGTGAGAGATACTATGTGAGTCTGGGTTATTATTGTTAAATAGAGACCGCATGATGTTTGTATACGACAAGAAATTATCATTTTAATGAATCTTTATATGTACTGTATCATATATTTCCTCTACCAAGTGTCAACCTATATGTAATCAAGAAGTCGGAATCACAACGCTTTTTGGAGGGGAAGGATCTACACGGAGATAGGGAGGGGATGAAGGAATCCCACTTAATTAGAGGAAAAGAATTAACTAGGAATACATAATTGTTAGCAGGAGAAAGAATCACAAAATGCAGGGGTTGTAGAGTTCCACTAGCCTGGGACAGGTAAAATCGTAGTAAAAGATAGTAAAAAAAAATCAATATTTCTATGAAAACTTTCAAAATATTGTCTGTTGGCTGGTGAAATTGTACACCACTAGTTAGAGGTAACTACGGAAGGGGAACAATCGTAGGATGAAAGGAGGGGGGGGAATTACATTTTTTTTTCGGAAAGGCATTCAAGACTGTTTTGGTGGAATTATATTTAGAGGGAGGGGCAGATTTTTATAATGGGGAAGGGAAAAGGATGAAAGGAGGGGAAAATTGCATTTTGTCGGAAAGGCATTCAAGACTGTTTTATTGGAGACATATTTAGAGGGAGGGCCAGATTTTTATAATGGGGAAGGGAAGTGGTGGGGGGCTGGGGGCAGAATTATATAACATAGGAGAATCAGAATTACGCCAAGTAGGAAGTGAGAATTAAAGTACAGTGTGGGATGATTTTCAGTAAGTGTAAACCCAGATGAGCGATGTTCTTCTGTTCCATGATCAGGTAGACTAATTACAGGTACCTCATCTTCTTAACTGTAAAACTGTTTTTGTCAATTCCTCTGCCTTTTAGGTTTGTCTGCAATGAGTGTTTACATCCAGGAAGTATATACCTGACGATCAGTTGTAAAAGACAATCGAGGTAGAGGAGGCCATTTACTCAGAGATTTGACCATTACAGTCAAAGGGAGATCATCTTCTTTTTAATTTTGTATGGGTTCATTTAGTCAAATTGAGGTAATTTCAAAATTTTGTGTACCATACTAACTTTCAAATATATTCATATTCTGTAGAGATTGCATGCAAATGATCTAATGAATTATACTCTTGGAAGTCCTCATTGTTACAGAATTTTAAAAAATTAAGTGCATGCTTTTTTCTTTAATACGTATATGAATTACAGATATTTCAAACTATGAGTAATTAGGAAGTGGCTATTCTTTTGAAAATTAAGTGCATGCATTTTTCTTTAATATATGAATTACAGATATTTCAAACTGCGAATAATTAAGAAGTGGCTATTAGTGCAATGTTGTGTGTGAAATTCTGATGGATATTTTAAATACATAGGTATATATATATATAAAAAACAAACCTAATCACCAACTTTAAAGGTGCCAAATATATTTATTGACAAATTCTTGATAATGTCAGCTCGAGAACTGGTTTTCGATATTTCTTCAACTAATTCACACACAGAATTTCATAATGAACTATTCTAACCTTTGAATTAGAAGAGTTCAAATGGGTATTTAAGGGTAAATGAGCTCATTGAATAACAATAAGAACTTGAATTGATCATTGACATTCTGGCTCCGAGTTCTGTAGGGTAACATTTGAGATGCCCGTTTTACAATGTCAAATTTTGTCAATATTATACTTTCTGTACAATGTTGCTCTATAAACTTTTGATTGACAATATCAAAAATAATTTTTACCTTTATATATACAATGTATAAACATTATAGTAGAGACGTCTTTAACTCTTCACCCCTATGTAACTTTAGTAGACTCTACCATACATTTGTCTGGGTGAGTCCATTACGGTCTACAGTGGTGAAAGGGTTAATTAAATTGGCTACTTTTATCAATTTTTACCTCATTTTTATCATGGAATTAGTTGTCTTTTTTTTTCCTGTCACGTAAAAATTTTAAAACAAGCACTGCGCTTCATAGAGGAAATAAAACATTTCTTCTGTCAAAGTTTAAAAAAAAAAAAATGTTCATCCAGTAACTGCAGGTTGAAATCAGGGGACAAGAATAGCTGTAGAATAGATGATATAATACTGGAAGGAAATACATGTTTTCTCTAAGAAATCTTAGCCAGGATGTAAATATCAATAGTCTGTATTGTACTCTATAGATACCAACATTATACAGACCTCCATACAAGCATTGGTTCATATATTCTTTTTTAAAAAACAAATTTTTACTCTGAGAATTCTGGGTTGTTTCAACAAAAAAGCATCATTTTTTATAATATTTCTGTATTTCTATATCTTACATGCATCCAATGCTAATCTGTACAAGTGTGCGAGCGAGTGTGAAGTAAGAAAATGTGTTGAAAATTTTATCATTTTAGCAAATAGATTAAATCCAGACCATTGTTACATTGTTCACCCCAAGGCTCTCACATTGTTTTCTGTCTAAGGGGGAGGTAACTCTGTGGTCACCACGTGTCCTCTGGTAGTTCACTATCCCTAAATCTCTGTCACTATCCTCCTCTACGAGTCTGTTTTTGAGTTTTAAATGCGTGTAACCACGACGATCTAAAGGGGTGACCAGGTTCATTTATTTTGTACAAAGTTCATTGTAAGTATCCAATCACTCGCCTCATTAAAGTGTCACCAAGACGACGTCATTTGTTTTGTTTTCTTTACCTCGGGCCCTGAAATCATGAAAGCCTTCAGACAAGTTGACTTGTTTGCCTGCCTTGGTTTGTCTAATCTCCTCGAGGCTTCGCTTGGAAAGTGCAACTATCCTTTTTGAAATAAAATAATTTTAAAATGATTACAATAATTTTACCATGCTGGATCCATCTTTAAACACCAATGTGTCATCTCTTACACATTTCAAATATAAACAGTAAGGAAATCTGTAGCTCAAACCAAACTTAAGATTCCCTAATTGAGTTAACCAATCAGCACTGGTTTGGTCAGGATCCCGACCAAGATGGCGGCCCTGACCAATTTTAGTTTCAAAGAGCGCAGCCTAGTGGAGAGAAATGGTACTAGGGCAGGTTATCCAGTCTGCAGACAAGAGTCCAAATTTCAATTTTCTATAAAGCAAATATTGTCTTAAAGGCATTCCAGAATGTTAACAGTGTTGATATGGATCTAAAATAAAATCTCATTCTAATTACAAGAACTTTTAATTTGGACTACACGATTGCGACTGCTTCATGATTCAGGCGTCAGACTTTTGACATCAATCACTAGAGATGACCAACAACATATAGTTACATTTCCACACAAGTACCTCTATAAGCATAACCAGAAGAAATGACATTCATAGGGCTATGAATGCAATTGGTTCAGCATCTTTTTGAAGCTTCTCCCAATAACACCAGACAACCATTAGAAGCAATCATTTAGGTGATGATAGGCTGTTCCAGGAACCTTGTATGCTATAACCACATATCAATATTATAAAAATTAAAATATAAGGTTTGTACAGTATTTTTCAATGTTCATACTGATATGAACACAAATCAGTTGCATACATATTAACCATCAAACCCTAGCCATTGAGTTAAAGTGACGCCTGGCATCAGTGACAACACCAGACTTTATCTACCAATAACCTGACATCAGTGACAACATCAGACTTTATCTATCAATGAGCTGACATCAGTGACAACACCAGACTTTATCTATCAATAACCTGACATCAGATTTTATCTATCAGTGACAACATCAGACTTTATCTATCAATAACCTGACATCAGTAGTAACACCATCAGACTTTATGTATCAATGACCTGACATCAGTGGCAACATCAGACTTTATCTATCAATAACTCGGCATCAGTGACAACACCAGACTTTATCTACCAATAACCTGACATCAGTAACACCATCAGATTTTATGTATCAATGACCTGACATCAGTGGCAACATCAGACTTTATCTATCAATAACTCGGCATCAGTGACAACATCTGACTTTATCTATCAATAACCTGACAACAGTGACAACATCTGACTTTATCTATCAATGACAACATAAGACTTTATCTATCAGTGACAACATCAGACTGTATCTATCAATAACCTAACATCACTGACAACATCTGACTTTATCTATCAATGACAACATCAGACTTTATCTATCAATAACCTGACATCAACGACAACATCTGACTTTATCTATCAATAAAATGACATCACTGACTTTATCTATCAATAACCTGACAACATCAGTCTTTATCTATAAACAACCTGACATCAGTGACAACATCAGACTTTATCTATCAATGACCTGACATCTCTGACTTTATCTATCAATAACCTGACATTAGTGACAACATCATACTTTATCTATCAGTGACAACATCAGACTTTATCTATCAATAACCTGACATCAGTAACACCATCAGACTTTATGTATCAATGACCTGACAACAGTGGCAACATCAGACTTTATCAATAACTCGGCATCAGTGACAACATCTGACTTTATCTATCAATAACCTGACAACAGTGACAACATCTGACTTTATCTATCAATGACAACATAAGACTTTATCTATCAGTGACAACATCAGACTTTATCTATCAATAACCTAACATCACTGACAACATCAGACTTTATCTATAAATAACCTGACATCAGTGACAACATCTGACTTTATCTATCAATGACAACATCAGACTTTATCTATCAATAACCTGACATCAACGACAACATCTGACTTTATCTATCAATAAAATGACATCACTGACTTTATCTATCAATAACCTGACAACATCAGTCTTTATCTATAAACAACCTGACATCAGTGACAACATCAGACTTTATCTATCAATGACCTGACATCTCTGACTTTATCTATCAATAACCTGACATTAGTGACAACATCAGACTTTATCTATCAATGACAACATCAGACTTTATCTAGCAATGACCTGACATCAGTGACAACATCAGACTCTATCTATCAGTGACAACATCAGACTTTATCTATTAATGACAACATCAGACTTTATCTATCAATGACAACATCAGACTTATCTATCAATGACAACATCAGACTTTATCTAGCAATGACATGACATCAGTGACAACATCAGACTCTATCTATCAATGACAACATCAGACTTTATCTAGCAATGACCTGACATCAGTGACAACATCAGACTCTATCTATCAGTGACAACATCAGACTTTATCTATTAATGACAACATCAGACTTTATCTATCAATGACAACATCAGACTTATCTATCAATGACCTGACATCAGTGACAACATCAGACTTTATCTATCAATGACCTGACAACATCAGACTGTATCTATCAATAACCTGACTTCAGTGACAGCATCAGACTTTATCTATCAGTGACAACATTAGACTTTATCTAGCAATGACAACATCAGACTTTATCTAGCAATGACAACATCAGACTTATCTATCAATGACCTGACATCAGTGACAACATCAGACTTTATCTAGCAATGACAACATCAGACTTTATCTAGCAATGACTACATCATACTTTATCTACCAATAACCTGACAACATCAGACTCTATCAATAACCTAACATCACTGACATCAGCATACTTTATCTACCAATAACCTGACAACATCAGACTCTATCAATAACCCAACATCCCTGACATCATCATACTTTATCTACCAATAACCTGACAACATCAGACTCTATCAATAACCTAACATCACTGACATAATCATACTTTATCTACCAATAACCTGACAACATCAGACTCTATCAATAACCCAACATCCCTGACATCATCATACTTTATCTACCAATAACCTGACAACATCAGACTCTATCAATAACCTAACATCACTGACATAATCATACTTTATCTACCAATAACCTGACAACATCAGACTTTATATAAAATGACATCACTGACTTTATCTATCAATAACCTGACAACATCAGTCATTATCTATAAACAACCTGACATCAGTGACAACATCAGACTTTATCTATCAATGACAACATCAGACTTTATCTAGCAATGACCTGACATCAGTGACAACATCAGACTTTATCTAGAAATGACAACATCAGACTTTATCTAGCAATGACTACATCATACTTTATCTACCAATAACCTGACAACATCAGACTTTATCTACCAATAACCTGACAACAGCAGACTTTATCCACCAATAACCTGACATCAGTGACATCATCAGACTTGATGGATATCCTAACAAAGTAGTATTGCATTTTATTATTAAAAAAGTAGATCTACCTGTTACATTTGTACCTATGTAGTTCAAGATTTGTGCAAAATGACGAACACTGTAATATTACATGAAATACTCATCAGAATTACAAAAATAAATCATGTAAATTCTTTAATATGCCGGAAAATAAACCTTGAAGTATGACAAAATACACATCACGATGACCTACATACGAGATCTGAAAAAAGACCAACAAATACACGTTTACAAGAATACATGGAATATGATACGAATTACAAATTAAAATTATGTGATGATTGGGGATATCAAACAAAATACACAATTTAAAAACCGGAAGATGAACAATATGATAGAAAAAGGTTGTATCTTCAATATGACACAAAAAACATACATTTGGATGACATGAAGTTCTTTGATACACGGGCAGATACACGGACAACAGATACACGGACAACAGATACACGGGCAGATACACGGACAGACAAAAATTGCAAAGCAGAAACACATGGAGGTCTACAGTACGACACAAAAACCGTGAAAATCTCCAAAATGACAAAAAACGTGAAAATCTCCAATATGACAAAAAACGTGAAAATCTCCAATATGACAAACAAAACATTAAATATCCAATGTGACAAAGACCCATTAAAATCTTCAATAAGACAAAAACACTGTAAAATATCGAATATGACACGAAAAAACACATTCAAATCTCGAGGACCATTTGGAAGATTAGCCCATGGCTAAACATGTATTTATCCTCAATAAAGAATGTCTATTTTTCCAATATAACAAAAAAAAAATATGGCAAAATACACGTGAAAATTTCCAATATGATAAAAAACTTGAAAATCTCCAATATGAAAAATAAACGTGAAAATCTCCAATATGACAAATAAACGTGAAAATCTCCAATATGACATAAAGGTACGTTTTTATGATATGATGATCTGTGCCATATGACAACAAATTCATATTTCACATTTTATACACTGAGATCTGCAGCATGACACAAGAGATCCCAGAGGGATCTTGGCGCACACCATTTGTAAGATCTTCATTAGTTCTTGTAAGTTCGATCGTTTCCCTGATTTTCTTAAGTTCGTTGGATTGGATTCAACCGAAAATGCGTTTTTAGGTAAAACTTTTGATTTAAACTTCATACAACTGGGATTGACTGTTTCCTCTCAGAGTTTGCATTTCGTTTGACTCATTCGCTAAAATAACATGTAAACAATTGAATATGAAAGATTTCTGGTCGAGCAGCTTGAAGCTCAAAACGAAAAATACGAAACTAACGAAAAGTAATAACTATATAATTGCTTATTCCATGGAACCCTACATTAATGTAAGTGCTTAATGACAAATAGCGATAAAAATGTAACCTGTCAAAATCAAAGTTGGCTACCTGGCAGCCATCTTCTTTTTTCTGATCAGTTTCAGAAA